CCAGGATCAGGACGTGGGAGACGTGTATGCTGGGTATGTCTGTCTCTCTCAAGCTGCCATTGATGAAGGCAATGTTTCTGTCTAACCTTACCTGAATGGCTGCAGGGTGCCGGTCACGACGGGTCTGTTTCACTTTTTAAAAATGATGAAGAGTTCTCGCATGTTTGTTCATTTTCGTGGAGGGATCAATATAGCTGCAATGTGCTCAAGATGGTTCTGTAAAACCATGGTCATGGAACAATAACCATCAGTGTGGAGCAACCGGGTTTGTGAGAGCGCGAATTGACGTTCAGAGCCCTCAACTTGCGGCCTCCTCTGTCGAAACAACATTCACTTGGTCAGAGTTGCTGGAGTAATTTGGACTTGTGGGTGTATGCCTGCCGTCAGCACTTTTGCCAGAACGAGCTGGAGGGTGTTTGCTCGAGCCCTGTTTTGTCGTAGTGGCCCAACTTATTGGGCGATGAGCATGGTGACAGGCTGGTAGTGCAGAGCAGGCCTGTGACTAGATGGAGGGTGCACATGAACACACAAGTTTTATGTGCACACAAAAAAACAATATTCATTGGGCTGACTGAAAAATAAGCACCTGCATGCAATCATTCGGGTACAGCCTGGTACTACCTTCTTCGCCCAAATACAACAGACGGTCAATATAGCTGTATTTGAGGCATCTTTCAGTCTAGATACAGCTATAATGACCGTACGTTGTATTCGGGGGAAGAAGGTAGGGGTTGGGTCAATGAAGAAAGCTTTTGCAAATGACGGCTTGCAGTTCTATCCACAAGTAAAGGAACAAACAAAAGAGAGCAGAGGACGCATACGATGGGCAGCGAGCGAAAAGGGGAAGAACCTCACTCTCTCTCTCTCTCTCTGTGTCTGTCTCTCGTACCCTCCCCTCTCTCAAGGGTGGTGTCCACTTGAAATGGCTCTTGCAAAGATTTTCAGATGGCGCTGCATGAAAACCCCTGAAAGGGCAGATGACCTACTGTACTTGTCCATGGAGGGTCTACTGGCCCTTCAAAATTTTACTTGTGCGGGCACAAAGCCCTTCAACATTTACTGGTGCAGGTACAAAGAACATTTGGGAGGACCAATAATAAGCCCTCTGCATGCCCCTTGGCATAATTCTGCAGGGTAACCGCCCCCGTGACATTAGACTTTGCGGTGCACACACACCCACTCAGAAAACATTCGGGTGTGCGCGCACCTCTTTAACTAAGCACAAGAAAGGGGTGTGCTGGCCTTTCAAATGTTGGATTATGCTGTGAATGTTTGCCAAATGTATTTATGAGACTCTGCAACATTGTTTCTCCTGTCCACTCCTCATCTTTTTTCATCTGGTTTTGGTTTGAAAAGGAGGGTTATTGACAGTAGTATCTGGGTTGACCTTAACATTGTGGTATCTCTCGTTGTATTGTCTCTGTGCAGGGCAACCTATCAGAAGATTTCCGCACATGGTGGATCTGTTGATTATGCTGATCACCAGGTAGGCTGTAGCCGATTGCTATCGTGATCTGCTTAAGGGTTGAGAGTCTTGAGACACTCTTCCTGACTCAGTGATTTGATTATGGCGTCGCATATCTATTCATAGCTGTGCTAGAAAGTCGCCCTGCTGGGTGGGCATGCACAGTAGGGGGCCAGGACTGGGTAGCCCGAATGTGCTAAACCGGTATTTGTCTCAGGGAGGAAGAGGAGGGGGGGGGGGGCGGAGGAGGAGAAGGGGTAGACTAAAAGATAGATTAAAGGGTGGGCTAGGGAAAAGGCAGAGAATGTCTTTCAGAGTGGTTGGACGTCAGGAGATGGTCGTCTTGGCATGAAAAATAAAAACGGGGTCCGGTTGACTCCAGTATAGATAGGTCGAATGTGAAGGAGGATGTCATGTCGAGGAGTGGGAAGTTAGTAGTGAGGGAGGGGGCAAGGAGGAAGAGGGGGCAAAGGGATAGGCTNCTGGCAGGTGCTAGATTGCCAGGGGCGATAGCTGCAATGCTGCACCGCTCAGTGTGCAGAGTCGTGGCCTGCAATTAAGCAGGTTGCAGCTGCAAGCTGACACAATGAACAACCACCATGCAGTGGCAGAAACTCCACAAGGCAAGGAAAATAATTTGCAGATTCAAACAAAGAAAGGCAATAAGAGAAAATGCAGTTTCTGACAAAACTGAGACAGCGAACTTCACAAAACTCAAGGTTTTAGACAACAAAATTTATGATCTGCTGGTTACCGCCCAAAATGTTCACGAGTTTGACGGACTAGTCTAGTAGTACATCAAACTCTCTTTTTCCGGTCGTCCATAACTGCTGGCCTCCATGTGTACATCATCGCTTGTGTGGGGTGCACTTGCTGCTCCACATTGTGCTGCTGCATATCTTGCTGCTCTGCCTCCTGCGGCTGCACTTGCTGCTCATCTTGTCTTGCTTTTGAAGCTTGTTGTGTTGGCGTGGATCACCCTCTGTGTCGGTACAGCTGCACGCGAGCTGTTTCCTCTCTCTCACATCGATCGGTGTCCTCCCTGTCACAATCAGCCATGCCCTCGACTCTTGCTGCATTCGCCCCACCAGCCTGTTTCTCTCTTTCCGAACCAAGTCCTCTATGCAAGAGGAGCTCGATTCCGGTGTCAATGGGCACAAAGTCCACTTCCATATGTTGCGGGGCTACATCATCTGCGCTCTGTCCCCAGGACACTTGCGGGCATCAGATGAGTGAAACACGCCACCAGACAAGTCATCTTCGGCATCGTTTCCGTCCTCCTTCCTCTTCCCCTCCTCTCAGTGCTCTCTTTCCCGATCCACACGAGGTCTTCCACAGCGCTTCCAGGATAAGAATCCGTAGCCTCCAAGTTCCGTTGGACCTTCCCTTTGAGTCTTCGCAAGCCGCTTATGGCTCACTATCCCAGCTTTTCATTTGCTGTTCTCTCCACCTCATCCTTCCCTGCTTCCATCAACACCCGAAGCAGGTAGCCGGCATGTGGATAAGCCCGTTGTCATTGCATTTTGGAACACACAGTAGTTGTATGTTTCAACGGGTAACTAACTTCTCCAAGGACTCTGTAGACAGGCTGTTCCGCCTGTTGCAGTGAATTGAGTCCATGGAAGCCGAATTCCTGCCACTTGGGAGCATCCCCTCCATGCGTCGCCAATCGATCTGATGGTTTGTGCCTTGCGGAATTGGTCGGGGAAGTCAACGTCCACATCTTGTGATGCATCCTCTCCAGCTCGTTTGCCTCTTGTGGAATTGATCTGTGCAGTCAATGTCCACTTCTTGTGATGCATCCGGTCCTGCTCGTTCATGCTGGACGTCCTGTGGAAGCCATCCGACCATCCCGACATTTCTGCCTGTTCCTTTGCCTCCTACCTCCTGCGACCTGCCTCATCAAGATCCTCACGGGATTGTGAACCACCGGGCTTTGTCCGTCATCCAACCACTGTGCTGTCCTCATCATGCAGCCACCATGCGTTCCTTCTGTGCAGCTCCACGAGAAATGCAGCAGCATGCACAGGCTGCCGCATCGTCGTCATTCGGTCCGTGGTCAAGATTGTCAAGGCTTTCAAGAGCAGCATGCACCTTCTCCATAACGACCTTTTGCTCCCCGTGTGTCAGTACCACTGTTGACAGTTTCCTGCTATCCTGGCTGTGGTCAAGATTTTCGAGACAAACATGAAAGTTCAATATGTATCCCCTTCTTTTTTGAAAACCCATACGCTTATGGTCCTTTTCCTCAAGCAACCCGAACAGTCAGAGTCGGTGGTTCACTTGTTCCTCAACTAAGTGGACTGGGCGCGCGGTTCGGTCGTCCACGTAGTTGCCACCGACCCGCCCACCACTTTGCAGCAGCCTTCCTTTCATCCATCATCTCACCCACCATCGATTCAAGGTCCAGCATCTGGTAAACAAAACCAAAGCGCACCCTGTGTGCCCCGAAGCAAAGAGAGGCTGTCATCGATGGAAATCATCAGCCGATGAGTGCCGTGATGTTTCCTGATGAACTTGAGCACTGTACGCGTCCTCAAGACCGGGTCGTGCACCCGCTTTAGCGTGCTGAAGTCGCACAGCAGCAAACTGCAGCTGTGGGCTGCACAAGGAACCCATGGATTTTGGTGACACTGATGTCACTGCGGCGTTCCAGGATCTGTGTGGCCTTCTTGTTGATCTACGTATTGTCGTTACATATCATGCTGATCTGGTGCAGGCCAATCTCGCGCATGATCTCTTTTTCAAAGGTTTGCCAGTGCCGCTGCTGTCTTCTTTCTCCCTGCCATTGTCTATGCCTTGCTCACCCGCCTCAAGGAAGTTCAAGAAAGGCCGATTGCAACTGTCCTATGTAACCCCGCCATTATCTATGCCTTGCTCACCCGCCCCGAGGAAGTTCATGACAGGCCGATTGCAACTGTCCTATGGAACCATCGATGATGAAGATGCAGCTGAACTCATCCCAATACTTTGTGCTCCGCTTTCTGCATCTGGAGATAGATGAATTCCAGCAACAAGGTCGGCATGTGCGTCAATGTAGGGAGCTTCACCCTCAACCTTGAATTTGCAACTCCAGATAGGTCACATGTAGCGACTGCTTCATGTGGAAGTTTAAGGAGTTAAGTGCAATCCCGAGACAGAACATTGCTTCTGTCTATGCCACATCGAACTTCTTCTGCGCCTGGTTATCCACCCACCTCCTTATCGCAGTTTGCGGCATCTGCTTGAAAACCGCGGGCTTGGCGATTGACCTGCTCTCTTAAAAGCACACCCCTATTCATGTCAATCTGTGCCTCAACGGAATCTGTTGGGACTCTGCCGGCAACAGGTGGCAGTTGCGGCTCAGGCATATCAACCGTGTCCGCGCCCCCCCCCCCCCCCCCCCCCCCCCCCCCCCCCCCCCCCCCCCCTTCTCGACCCTCTCCTGAATCCATCCCAATGCCCTGTAGTTATCAAAAGGTACCTTGGCCAAGTATGTGAAGGATCTCCGCCGTCCAGAAGGCACATGGGTTCTGCATTCACATGAAATGAGGGCGTGGCTGCCATATGATGGAGCACAGTTGGCACCTCGCCCAGTGGTTGCCATGCCCCGCTGCCTTCTGCCCTCTCTCCACCCATTGCTACTCTGTGCGCTGCCATTGCAACGGTGTCTGTGTGGTATCATCTTGAGGGCTGAAGAGAGAGAATTCCAGCACCGACGTTGGCTCCTTCGCAACACTCGAGCTCGACTTATTACTGGAGGCTACTCTGGCGACCTCTCCCMCCCCGCGGGCTGCCGATTTGCTCTGAATGTGTAAGGCCGTTAAAATGTGCCCCCCCCCCCCCCGCCCCCCCCGTCCGCCAGAGATTGGCTTACCAGTGAGTCTGCCGCTGTCTGAGGGGGGCTGAGAAACCGGCAGGCCTGAGAGATCAGGATGCCGGCAGCAAGGAAATCCTTCTTCCTTCCTAAAATCTGCTAGTCTCTGTATCGTCATGCTATCATGCATCTGGCTCCCCGCTCTGTCAATCACATACGGAAACAGGTCCTCGCTTCTTCTCTGCCAGCGCACAACGGTCCTGAGTTCTGAGGCTTGTAGCAGTCAGGTATGCAATTTTCTTCGCTGAACTTGGTTTTAAATGTAAGACAGACAACTCTTCCCCCTTCACCTCCCTCCCATCCTTTCTGCCTCCCCCATTGTATCAATATTGTTGACGCCCAGTATTGACTTCCCTACTTCAGTATCCCTTACTTGGGGCCATTTTTTCGCTGGTTGTGGTGTTGTGCTCATTCTCAGGATGTACAGTACTCAGCACAGGTTATCAATCAGCCTACCAAATTTGTGATCCCAGCATCAGACAGAGGAGCACTGCAATCTGTGCAACTAGAGTATCCTTTACGATAAATTACGGAGCACATTTTCTCTCATGCAGCCCGATTCCGGTTATTTGATTATGTATTCCATATGCTTATGGTTAAACTGGGCCTGGTCCCGGGGAAAAAAGAAACCGGGCCTGGGCCCAGGAAAAATGCTGTGTGATTCTTTTTTTTTTTTTTTTCCCTTCCCAAAAAAAACAGGGCCTTATGGGCCTGGCTCCGTATCCATTCTGGGGAGCGTCAGTCCGGTTCCTTTTCCCCCAGCAAGTCAAGAGAATACAACGATTTACACACCCACGCTTCCTTCCGTCTGGAGGAAGGACCCCTGAACAGCATTGATTGCTCCAAATGGTCGAGGATTGACTGTCAGCTTGCCTTCCCCTGTAATTCCTCTCAGGCTCTCTCGTAATGAACGCATCTGATAGGCCATGAAGCCAGAAAAACAGAGAACACAAGCTGCAACTGAATGCCCTTCCTCACCCCATTCGTGGTTAGGCGGTTCCTTGGATCTTGTAGCGGACCTACGTTGTTACTCTGAGGTCTTGTGGTTCTGGCAGGTGAGTTCTCCTTTGTCCCTGGGGCTGAGTAGAGTTGTGCCAGTCCTTCCACCGGAGATGCGGTCCTTGAATGTCTGCTATCTTTCCTCCAGCCAGCCAGATTCTCGTAAATTTTTCCCGCAGATCTTGCTGCTTGTCCAGATTATTCTGGATTTGGATCTTGACTTGCCTCCACTGACATAGAATCTCCGCCCCCAGTATCGATTTTGTCGTCGCCCATCCCTTCTCACTCGGGTTACATGAGTTCTCCAGTGTTCTGCTGCACCTTTCCTTCCATATTACCCAGAGCATCACCTTGCGAACTAGTCCGAACCATATGCGTTCCGATTTGCCAAAGTGGGTGGGGATGTTAGTCCATAGGAGTATTTGGATTGGGTGTTCTGGCAAAGACGAAGAGAAAAGATAATCCCACAGGACGGATGATCTAGCCCAGTAGTCTGTAGCCTCTTTGCATGTGATCAGGCAGTGTATGATATCTTCCTGTTCGTTGTCTGAACATACCGGGCACAGATTAGTGCTGTTTGGGTCATTTTTCCTTCTTCTGATGTGTAGCCAGCTGTTCACTGGCAGAGCAGCCGAGGCAATTGAGCCATTGGATACTTCTGATTTTAACTGGGGTCAGAATGATTCCCCCCCCCCCCCTTCCTCCCTCTTCCTCCCCTTCTCCCGTTCCCGTTCCCCCTCCCCTCCCCTCCTTATTCTTCTTCTTTTTTTTTTAAACAAACACAGAACCTCCTGGTTCTTGCTCCCACCGTTCTGGGGAACGACAGTGCGGTTCCTATTCCCCCGGAACTTTGGTCTGTATCTCATCAGTTCATGGGTGTACCAACTGAGCTTGGCCTGTTAGATGCTGTGTCATTCCTGTGGTTGGTATGCATGCATTTTATAAGACCCATTCGAATGGCTCATCGCTCCTAGTTACTGCCAGTAGTTGCGTCCACGAAAATGTTGGAACCCAGGGATATCCCAGGATATCTGCGCTGCAGGATATAGGTGGTAATGATGCTTACTGTGGCCGTAACCTTGTTTCGGCTGATTCACAAAGGCAAGATCATGCCAATGTCTTCGATTCCTTTCCTTTTCTTCTTGCGGGCATTAATATTCTTGGGTACCAGAGTGATCTCGGTGTTCCAGCAGCACAGTGGTTGGGTGGGTCGACTGTCTGTCGATTGCCTCAGTCATCGACAGTCAATGTTTGGTCAGCAGCTCGTCTCCAAAAACACTTCTTCTGTGTTGTCTTCTTATTGGAGAAGGTCGGTCAATCAACCTGGATGTGTCATACCTCGCGCTGCTGTTTCTCCCCAGCATTCGCCAAGCAATATTCCGCATTTATTCAGTCTTCTCTCTTCAAGGATTGCCAACCTGTTGTGTTGGTTTACATTGCATTCTGCGCTTTTCTCGCGAGATTCTGTTAGCTCTGCATGAAGTCATCCCCTCCTCTCAGTATCCATTTGGTCCATTGCTCAACCACTAAAAATCCTACGTTATGTTGTAGGATCCCTTTATGATCTTCAAGTGCATAACGACACGTACTGCTGATTGTGAACTGGAGTCTCTTTGGGAATGGGTTGAAAACCACACGCCGACTACCGTCTTCACCCGAATAGAACGCCCGGTTATTATAGCGGTATCTGGACTGAAACATGCGCCAAATACGGCTATACTGACCGGGCGTTCTATTCGGGTGAAGACGGTAGGTTTTCGGCATCTGCTGACAAACTAACCCTTGGTGTTGGTAAACTTCGAGGCCGGTGTTGCTGACCTGTTATCCATGTAAAAAAAGGTTAAAAAAAAAAACCTTTGGTGTTCGAAATTTAGAGGGCAGCTGGGTCTGTTGGATCCTCTCCTCTGTTATTTTTATCGGGGTGAGCTTAGTGTAGGATGAGCAGGTGTCTATTGCATCTTTTGCTGTGTCAAAGAGAGGGCAGCTTGCTGCTATTCGAAGAACAATTTACTGTGCGTTTTCGTTTCCAGGCAGTACATAGAAAAGTGCCGCCTCGACTTGCTGTGGACACCCTTGGATAATTCTTCCCCCCCCCCCCCCCCTTTTTGTGGAGTGCTTTCCTTGACAAGCCACCTGTGACAGGTATCCAAGAACGAGAATGGGCGTTACGAGGTACGATGTAAAACATGCGGGTGAATTCAAGCTGTAAGGAAACGACTCACTGGTGAGTCTGGTGCGGAGACTGACTGTCTTGTCATGATGAGTG